CTTCGAATATGAAAAGCGGTATATCTACATATATTTACGACTTATCAACAGTTTATTCCTACTAAATTCTGCAATTCGCCTATTGTTTCTAACGAGGCTCTACAAATTTCTTTTTTTGTATTGTGCATCTATTTTGTATCAATATAACTGCAGGATTTACTTGATCCTATTCCACATATTTCTTGCCAAAAGAAAAGTATTTGTTGACTGTTTCGTTTTTTATATTTAATGTTATTCATATGCTCAAATGCTAACGATTTGCAATTCCTTACAGAATAATAATTTATTTTCGAAGTATTAATTGGGTCTACTGTGTCACATGTCACGGAGAAATTGGATACAAAATAATTGATAATATGCTCTTTTAATAGTTGTCTTTTATAATGATCTTCATGTATCAATACGATGATATTTCCCCTCTTTCGCCCTTTTATTTATATTTATCTTCGCTGCCCATCTTTGCTTACTCTACTCATACCTGTAAAGATGTTTCTACGTGTCACGCCTGAGCCGTGACGAGGGGAACCAGGAGGGGCCTACGCGAAATACCTAAGAAATTTGATGTCGTGAGTCGTGTAAATAACGGCATCAAGGAAAGTGACTAGGTCTCGAACTAATTTACTTCACAATTTAAAAACGCAAAAATCGGAGAACAGAAGCATTTAACCTTTATCTCTTTTCATTCATCTAAATTTCGGAGGCATGTTCTTTCTTACATCTTTTTTACCTTTGAGCTTGGTTTCGGTGTAGCAGTAATCAAGCATGAAGAAAGGTCTCGTTTCTTAACTTGAATCGTCATAATACAAAAAACTAGTTTGTTATAACAATTTACAAAATCTATTTACATAGTTTTTGTTAATGGCTCTCCCTATTTACTATATTTCTGGCAACGAACACTAATCCATTTCTTTACCGGAGAAAGAACTTATGAACACCATATTTCTCAATCCATAAAGTCGTGTTTCCAATACCAAACCATACTGTTTGGCAACAATCGAAACCCCTGCAACTGATGCAGGCCCGCTAAGCATGTTTGCTCCTGACAAAGCCACTGCCTGGCCGTTTATCTTATCTTTTGACCAAAATAAGCACGGCTCGAAGAAATTGTTTATGTCTCCTCTCACAAGCAGCTTTACCAGAGGTTTGTAAACTTTTAATAAGCATATTTATAGATTTTTAGGATTTCTATGACCTACCCCGAATGATGTATTTAGTCTAATGTTGCCGACGTTTACTTATGCAGCAGACGTGACCAACAGTAAACAAAATGAAGAATGAAAAAGACCAATAACCTATTCAGCAGTCTGTATCCTCTATATATATTTGGAAGGATAATCAATAAATGACTAAACTGTGGGGATGTCGGGCTCTTTGTGGATGGGGAGGATCTCGACTACAGGTTGTAGTCGGTTTTTCTACTTGACGGCTAGGAATCCTCTCGCGCCAACTGGCGTAAATCTTTTAATAAGATTTTTCATAAAGCTTATATCTATACTCATTATCATTTATATAATTTATTATGTCATATTTCCATCTTCTGAGCTTACAACACACTAAAGTATTTCATTTTCATAATTTCACATAAATTCATTTGACCATAAAAATCTGTGCAAATTTTGACACTGAATATTCCGTCTAATGTTTTGTATATTTTATAATGATATGTTCTAAATACAGGGTTTCAGTTTACTTCCTATTTCAAATGGAATATTATTTGTTTAATACTCCAACCATTTTAACAACATTTATATTTGATGTACCTAATTACACTAATTTGTTACATTTTTAAAATGGTAAGAGGTTTGTGAAATGGTATGTGGATTTGTACGTGGATAAACACGTTAGAAAAACAATATCTCATAAATTTTCATTTATGTAACTAATTTTTCTTACCAAGTTCCGTTCGTTGCGTCGGAAAATTCCGGCCGGAGAGTGTTCAACAATGCCTCCCTCGCCTCGTCACTGTCATAGCAAACTAAACAAAAGGGATGCATTCAGAAATGTCTCTATTTCGGAAGATAATATCGCTGATGTAAAAAACAGCTTAAAATGAAGGTATATTTTACAAAACCATGTTCTTTTTTGACGATTTTAAATTTAAAAAAAATGCACATTAACTTTTAAACAAAAAATATTAAAGAACAAATGCATTTAATACAAATTCTCATGTATCTTCTGTAAATAATGTCTTGAATTTTTCATTTTTGTATTTTTTCTTTTATTAAACAATTCTGTGCTAGGATATTTTTTCATGACATGAAAC